TGTGTGTGTGTGTGTGTGTGTGTGTGTGTGTGTGTGTGTGTGTGTGTGTGTGTGTGTGTGTTCTGTAGATGGAAAGATAACAGTGGTCCTGTGGACTAAAGTGGTAGTGTTTCTGAGTACCAGAGTCCCTTTAGAAACCTCTCATTCTGCAGCAGGGTCTGACGGGTCCAGCAATATGTCCTGGGTCTCCAGCAGCGTGGTGTCGGTCTTAGTCCCAGAGGGAACCAGAGGAGCAGAGAGGAGAAGCTCTGCTCCTGGAGGAGGAGGAGGAGGAGGAGACACTGCTGCCGGGATCTGGGTCTGTCCGTGGTGGACCGGTCTCTGCTGGAGGATCTGGGTCTGTCCACGGTGGACCGGTCTCTGCTGGAGCATCTGGGTCTGTCCACGGTGGACCGGTCTCTGCTGGAGGATCTGGGTCTGTCCACGGTGGACCGGTCTCTGCTGAGTCTGAGCTGAGTCTGAGTCTGAGCTGAAGGAGGTTCTGGTGAACCTGCATGAGTTCATCTGGTTTCACCAGAATTCGACCCGGTGGCTCCGATGACGAGCATTAAGAATAACTCTATAGAAACAGACCATCTTCTCTCTGATGGTCTCTTTACTGATGGAGGTCTTATCATATCAGTCTTAATCTGAGACTGTTTCATAAAGGTTGTGTTTGATGTTTCCTCCAGGGTGCAGCGTCCAGTGAACACAGAGTGAAGTGGAGAAAGGAAGATGCCACCCCCTCCTCCCCCACCACCCCCATGCCCTCCTCCCACCTTTGCTTCTGTAAGTCATTCTGTCCGTCTCTCTGCCCAGTTAGATCAGTAGCTGTCCTCCTGACCCTGCTCAGCAGAGACATCTTGTGGATAACTCGTATAATAACACATATAATATACAGTATATTCTCTTGTTTGGTCCGAGTGTTCTCCGCTCGCTGCCTGTTGTCTTTTTAATTCAGTTTTATCAAGACACTCTGTCATCCCCCTATACAGATGTAAATTGATTTAACACACAGTCCCTGTATGTGTTTGTGTTTCAGGCCAACACAGAGAAGCCAAATCTCAACCGCTCGGAGCAGCTTGGAAGGTCCGCTCTGCTTACTGACATCAGTAAAGGCTCCAAATTAAAGAAAACTGTTACCGTTGACCGCAGTGGACCTTTACTGGACAGTAAGTCAACAGCTTTTTTAAATTTATATGCACGTGTGTGTGTGTGTGTGTGTGTGTGTGTGTGTGTGCAACAAATCATTTAATATCTTTTGTTTATCTCCTTAGAACCTAAAGGAGGCGGCGGTGGTGGTGGTGGCGGCGGAGGAGGAGGAGGAGGAGGAGGAGGTGGAGGTGGTGGTGGAGGTTTTAGTGGAGGGGCTCCTGCTGGTTTAGGAGGCCTCTTTGCAGGAGGGATGCCAAAACTGAGGTCTGCAGGAAACAGTGGTAAAAATGGTAAAAAAACGTGATGTGACTGGATGTGATTGACTCTGGATGATGATATTAATAATAATGAACAACACAGAAACACCTCTGACATTTTGTCTCCCCTCCAGACTCAGGACCCAGCCGAGGACCCGTGCTCCCCCCAGGAGGTCGCTCTTGTGGTCCCACCCCCTTCGGTGGGGGTGGAGGCTCAACTGGGCCACCTAAACTCCCAGGAGCCCCTGCTGGTGGGCGTAGCAATGTCCCTGATCTTCCCAAGGGCCGGCCGAATTTCTCATCCAGACAAGACACTCCAGGAGGCCCGCCTCCTCCTGTACCCAGCACACCTCGACCCAACCAGGGCTTCCAGCCTCGTGGCGGGCTTCCTCCGTCACTCCCTGGAGGGCCCAGGCCCAGCCCGTCTTCTGGACCTCCACCTCCTAGTCTTCCACCAGGGAGGCACGGAGGATTCTCTGCACCTCCTCCTCCCTCAAACAGCAGCAGACCTTCCTTACCGCCTACTCCCGGAGGGAGGCCTCCACTTCCAGACGACCGACCCCCACCTCCACCTGTGGGTGGTCATCGCCCATCTATGCCCCGCGATGTGCCCCCTCCTCCTCCCTCCGTCAACTCCAAGCCTTCCTCCTCGGTGTCTTCCTCCTCCCCCGCATCTCGTCCCTCAGTCGGTGGGGGTGCGCCCCCTCTCCCGCCGGGCCGACCGGGCCCCCCTCCTCTCCCGCCCACCCCGGCTGGAGGGGACGACCACAGCACCCCTCGTCTGCCCCAAAGGAACCTGTCACTCAACAGGTACTGGTGAACTTCTATCTGTTTCTGCCATTAATCCATATTTCTTAAAAGTTAATGGATGCTCCATCTGGCTTTACATTCACAGCCTTATCTCTATTAACATGTGGCAGAGGAAGGCACATTTTATTTTAGTTTGTTCTTCAGAGCTGTAGTAACATTTCTAAAGCAAAGGCACCATGGTTCTCACTTCTTGATGCCGCCGGCGTCCTCGGCCGACCTTACTGTCTTTCAGAGGCTTTAGTGGGCTCAGTTTTAGCGCTAAGAGTGAATCTATTGGAACCAACCATGTCATGCTAGCTTAGCTGGAAGGAGGCTAAATAACGCTCTAAAGTTTGGCTACATTTTGGGGAGGGAAAAACTGGAATGGTCATATTCACAGGGGTCCCGTGACCTCTCATTGCAATATATTTGAATGAAAATGGGATCTATGTGTACCGCAAGTCTCCCTTTTCACAGACATGCTCACTGTAAACTAATCCCATGCAGATTAGTGCATGTCATGGTGTATTTGGATATCTCTGCATGCTGGGGTTTGTAAAATGCAATTCTTGAAGAAATCTCCAAAGTCTTTGATACTAAATCACAGCATGACTTTTTCTATGGCGTTCCTCAAGGTCTTGGTGTCTGAATGTGATATTTTGGAGGGAGTTTTGATGATTTACATCTCGACTGGGGAAAAAAAGGGCTGTGTGACAAATGGTATCAAACCAAAAACTGCTGCCACATCTTATGAGAGCTATGTAATAGGTCATGGGAATGGACTTCATACACTTCCATCATAATGCTCTAAACCCTTATACACTAAACTTTCAGCACACTGCTGAGCTGCATCTCAAATTCATCTTCAGTTCTCCATCTTTCAGATGTTCACCACTTCTTTGTGGCATTTAGAAGCAAGGTTGACCTGCTGTCTCCCCCTTAAATACCCCCCCCCTATTGATTTATTGTAAAGAATGGTGGAGTAAAGGAGGTCAGCTGCTCGTTTTCTTACCATACAAATTGTTTGGTGTAATATTCTGTTCCTCCTTGCCAGCCATGGTCCGCCTCCGCCACATGGTCGGATGGGATCTCTCCCTCCTCCACCCAACGAGAGACCGCCGTCTCTTGGAAGGAACCAGTCGTCCACACGCCCTGGTGAACAGCCTTGATTGATTGATTGATTGATTGAACAGTGGGTTACTGCTGTATACAAACCATATGAAAAAGACGAGCTGTAAATATTGGAGAGGAATGCAGGATCACTTTTCGTCAGCTTACATGTCAATTTTGATTTCTTCCTCCGAAGGGCCTCTTCCTCCCCTTCCTCCCTCAGGTCGTGGCGTGGGTGGGGGCAATGTGAGGTCATCACCCGCTCCGTCTCCTATTGGTCGGCCAGGCCTGGAGCTCCCTCGCGGGGGACCTGCTGGCGGTAGACCTCCCCTCCCTCCGGACCGGCCGGGGATCGGAGGGGCCCCTCCTCCTCCACCACCCATGGGTAACGGCTTCCAGAACTCTCACCACAACCAGATACAGGGTGAGTAAAATCCCTCAAGGTTTCCGTGAGTATTCATGTCATTTATAAATCCATGTTTGCAAGAGGTAACTTTAGAGGCAGATAATAAACTCTATGCCTTGCAGAGTCTTTTTCTCCCAGTTTCTACAATAGAAATTCGTTGCTCTCAGTGTTGTTTTTACCACATGAGTTCAGATGTGTTCAACTGTGGCAGAGGAACCCACTGGCCCAAGTTTGTGTTGTTTTTATCCCATTGAACCAAGGTTTGATTAGGAAGGCTGTGGATGAAAGAGGCGGCGCTCCTAAATGTCCCTCTCCAGAAAGATCTGACAGGTTTTAATCATATTTCATGAGTAGTGTGGTGCTTTTAAACAGATTTTAGACACAAATACTCTTTGAGGTGCTGGGTATCAAACCTATAAATTACTGACTGAAATCTGTTAATTCAGTAGTACAAGTTGTAACAGAATGGACTTTAAAAATGTTGCTCTTGTTTTTCTAAATGTATTTTGGAATAAGATATAGCTTACACATACTACACATACATTTTTTGAATTCATATATGCATTGGACTGTCAGTAAATGCGAGAGCCTTTGTCATTTGGATTCGGAACTGATGTAAAAATTTTATTTTTGTGCCAAATTGATATTATCAGAAACATTTCCCAACGCAATTTACTTTCTTCCCCCGAGTTCTCCTCAAGTTTCTCTGCACCGGTTCACTCCTGTTACCAGAGTAACCTATTGACCTTTATTTATGTTATTTATCTTTGTTGTCGGTTTTGTCGGTGTGATGGAGACGGACCCACTGACCTCCATCTCTTTTTAAAAACAGACGAGTGGGAGTGTCGCTTCACATTCCATCCGGTGTCGGACCTTCCTCCTCCTGAGCCCTACGTGCCCTTCCAGAAGACCTACCCCAGCAAGCTCGGCAAGACTGACGGCAAAGGTCAGTGTCCGACACACACACACACACACACACACACACACACACAGTCGTGTTTTCATAAGTTTTGGGGACATCACATTGACTTATAGTACATTCATTTCCTGGAGACTTATCCTAACCGCTTCCAGCCTAATCCTAAACCCTTACCCTAACCCTACACCAAGACCACCAAGAACAAACACAAAACTTTTATCTCCAAAATTTAGGAGCTAAGAAACAGCCCGATCATGTTATCTATCATGCAGTCTTTCTGAAGTTTCTACAGCTGGTCTGTGAAACAGTGCCACCTGGTGGAAGATAATTACATCTCCTCCGTGTCTTTGCTTCTTTCCAGGTTCTGGTAAAAAGGAGAGAGGAGCTCCCCCTCTTCCTCCTTTACCCAGGTGAAGAAGAGGAGGCAGCAAACACAGCCCCTGGGACTACTTTCTCTCTTTCCCTCCCTGGCTCTCTCACTTTCTCTCTCTGTCTGTTGCGCTCATTGGGCCTCATGCAAGAACAACTCCTACGAACAGATCCGTTCTCAAGTGGCTCCTACGAGTGATTTAGGAGAACTTCTTCACCAATTTGAATTTCCTCTTAGGTACGAATATATCTCACGAGAGCTCCAGACCCGTCGTAGGACTCATCTGCTGTTATTTAAGTCTACGTTTTTCACTAATGAGTTGTATGTTTCTTAACTTTTAAGCAATTTTGAGTGTGAAAACCACACAGGACATTATGCTGTTTGAATTATTGGCTAATATAATTCTAAATATATTCATAAAGCATGACAATATCACCATTCATTAAAATTGAGGCTATTGTATATCAATATAAACATCTTAAATTATTTGACCCACTCCCGTTGCAGTCATCCATGGCCTTGCTTTAGTGAGACGTTTCCTGCTGCTGACACTGTTAAACATTCTAGACTTTTCTTTATGGAAACAAGACATATTGGGCAGAACACGTGGCCATATATATATATAATTTGGTGTTGGTGTGGTATTGGGGCGTTACTTATGTCCATTTACAGTACTCATGAATGCATGTTCGTCTACGCACAGGTGGCATTCATCATGTTTACACAGTACGAGAAAGTCAAGATAACAACACAAAGATGTTCTTGCATGAGGCCCGATGTGCTTTTTACCCGCGGCATGTGGTTTCATCTGTGGACTGCAACGAGTGAGATGGACCTGAAGTATGGTTGACCAAGTAAAAATAAAAAAGAATGTGGAGTTTACATCACGTGCCTCTGTAGCAGCACAGACCAAAGCCTGTTCATACTCCGGTACACTGTGTTCAGATAGAAAGAAACAACACAGTTGGACCTCCTTTTAGGCACTTTGAAAAAAAAATGTGTTTTACAACCATGCTGTTGCTGGACGATACTTTATTGACCTGGTTGCTGTGAGACAGTATTTTCATGAACCTTAATCCACTTTGACTTCCATCAACTAACTTGTTCACCCTTTTGCTTACTGTGGTTGATTTATTCCATATTTTGCTTGCTAGATATTATATTTTACCAACCAGCTTCACCTTTTATACAATAATACAAACTCTGACTTGACAAACACACCAGCATTGGGCATGTAGCATGTGTGACTTTCCCCAGACAGCGTTCGGTAAAGATAAATCAACATGTTATGGCAATAATATTGTCAAGTGCCAGTTCCTCTGCAGGGCTTATAATGCAACCACTCAGCTTGCTCAAGTGTGTTGACAAGTTTGTCTTTTTTTTCTTTCTGCTGTTTCCCATCGTGCCTATTTTTTCTATTCAGGATTGTATATTCAGGCTGCTTCAAAGAATTAAGGGAATAAGCCTTTTGTGCCTTAAATTATGTGTGTGTGTGTGTGTGTGTGTGTGTGTGTGTGTGTGTGTGTGTTTGTTCAGCTGGATTGGATCACCTCTGCTGATGTAAAATGAAGCAATACAGCCACAATATGTAGAATACTCAGTGTAGCAAAGTGTCGACACACAGACAGACACGCAACCAAACTGAAAAATGGCCACAACCTCTTGCCACCGCTCCATAACCGCATCAGGTGACACACAGTTGTGTTTTTAATTTGCCAAAGCCACATTGTGCCTTCACAGTACGTGTGCATCTACATCCGTGTGTTTCTGTTGGAGCCACTGATCGGTACTTTTCATTTGACTGTTAAATGTGACGGGACATTTGATGTTTATGATTGAGATGTTTTTGTGGGATGGACGTGATTGTTAATTTTTGCTGTTTCGCTTAAAACTGCGTTGACTTACCATGAAGGACCTGTGTATGTATCTGTATGATTTAATCAGGAGGTATGGAAGGACTGCGTTATTTTAAGTTATATTTCTGTGCAGTATTATGTTGTTTTTTTGGCTTCCCAGCACGGCTTTGAATGGCCTTTTGTATGCGTGATGTGTTATTATCATGTGTCGGTCAAAGAAACGTTTTCTTAAAGACAATCATACGGAAGTAAACATATTTACATCAATAAATAAAAATGCTTTAAGATGCTTAGTGTGCTTTACCTGCAGTGATGTGCATTTATTGGGATACACAGATGCTTACAGTCATTTCATCACAAACAAGCGGATGAAGCGATTTATTATGTATTATCATAGAAACAATATGCATCATTTACATGTTTGTGCAATAAAGTCAAGAAGGAACCGTGTGTCATGATATATAGGACATCGGGATGTCGGCTATTATGTTATATCATAATATGATTTAGCTTATCTGATGTAGAACTTTCACTAGTCAACAATCTCTTATGATCATTTCTTCTTGGAGTAGTGGAGTTGCTGTAGGTTTTTAATAGACTGCAGCGGGATTTGCCCACAAATTTAAGGAAACACAAATGAGTCCTCAGATACTCAAATACATCAATGTTTGCCTGTGAAGCAACTACAATAGATGCATTTTGGTTGTGTAATATTTATATGATTTAGTATTTATTAAGGTATCTAGTGGAACACTTGTGGAGTTCCTCTATAGAGTACAGGCTTGATCTTTGATGTCAATGTTCTCAAAATAATCTAAAAATGTCTGAAGCTTAAAATTTGAAAATGACTGGTTTTGTCTCACCAGGTTATATTATGTCATATATCAAAACAAGATATTAGTGTGATGTTAATGATTAGAAATGTTAGTAAAATATGATATAGAATAGAGGACAGAAAGGACACATTTGGACATTTCTGTTTGAGTGAAAAACAATGGCGTCTTTTTGTTGATGAAGCTTCAAGCTTTTTAGAATTGTTTGCATTTTGTGTGTATCGAATGCACAAGAAACACTTTAGCAGCAATCCAGTGAAAGTTTCCCCACAGTCCTAAAACTGGAGCTCAATTATTTACTGCATGGCTGTGAGTGTCACAGTGAATCATGTTTACATGTCATTACAGGAGGTAAAGTTTTAGAGGTATTGGGGACAATGGAGCTGTGATGGCCGAGTGGTTAAGGCGTTGTATTCGAAATCCAATGGGGTATCCCCGCGCAGGTTCAAATCCTGCTCACAGCGTCATTCTTTGATTAAGATGATAAAATAACGCAGTTTGCCCTTTGCCATCTACCTGCAAAAAAAACCTGGTATCTGACATCAATGACATATTCATACAAAAACAAACGTATGACACCAAACCTGTGATGCAAAAGTTAAGAGGAAAAACTTATCAATGGTCATAATATCAAATAAAACATATTAAGAATGGGCAGATTATCATAGGCAGATAGGATAAAAAACCCCTTCATTTATTTGAGGCATTTATTTCTTCATTAAAGTGATACAATATGACTGTATTTAAACCTTCGTTAGTTTGGTATTCATGTTGAAGCTGTTACGCTTCTGTAAAACACATAATAAGGTCCAAAGATCATGATCATTACCCTCATCACATGAATGCAGCATCGCAGGCTTTTATCCAATCACAGTAGGAGTCTGAAGCGTAAACTCGGCGATGATTGGCTGAATTGTCTGTCAGTCATTGTATTAGGGCGTCACCACCCAACAGTTGGAGTGTGAAGTGCAGCTCGTCGATGATTGGCTGGATCGTCCGTCAGTCATTGTATTAGGGCGTCACCACTCGCTGCAGCTGCCAGATTCAGAAGCAGCACAACACGGGCTTGTTTGAACAGCAGGACAGATGAATGTCGTTTATTTCCGAGCAGAGGTGGTTTTCTAAGTAACAGAGGTAAGCGCCACGTTTCTAGACAAGTCATTTATAATAATATATTAATGCCAGATGTTCAACTAACGGTCCTAAATCACCTGATGTTTTTAGCACGCGCCTAGCTAACGGTGTTGTCATGAGAGAGCGGTTAGCTTCTTTGGCTTTTTAACGTGATAACACTTAGTTTACCTGTACTAGAGTGTCGTCAGATAGAAGACATGTGTTGTCATTGAGTGAAGCGTGTTGACGTGACTGTGCTAACGGTAACGCTCATTGACAGGGGCGTATAACGTTAGCCAGGGGTCCAGGGCACCTTTCTCCTTTACTATTAGAATAATCAGTCTTCTGATCTATGGGTTTGTTTGCGTGTGTGTCTAGCGGTTTGCGTCCGAGTCTGATTGTTTGTATAGTTAGCAGGTAAGTTATGTACTATTCTGTTTGTGGGTAACATATAACATGCAACCTATATAAACTGAAAATAAAAAGACAGAAAGAATAATCAGTCTTATTATGGGTTCCCTCCAGTGGGACAACATACTAATTTAAGCCCCCACTTTATTATTTAGGTAGGTGGGTAGATGGATGGATGGATGGGTAGGCAGATGGGTGGATGGATGGATAGGTAGGTAGGTAGATGGATGGATGGATGGAT